CGCTAAGCCCCACGCTCGTAACTAGCTCGAGGCAATCAATGCGTCCGTGCACTATATCGTACAGTAGACATACATCCACTAGTATTATTTATTTATTCACACATAAATACGTGCTTATATTATTTATCGCAATGTCTTATTTAGATAACAGTAGTGATCTTGAAGGTTATTTAACTGCAGAGAGTGGTGATGGCAGTTTCACTAGTTCTCTGTCGCCCTCTGAAATTCTCGTCTCGTATTTTTCTGATGTCTCGAAAAATTTCAATGTGGTTCATATATCGCATTTATTGATATTATATTTTGTATAATTATATTGCACCACATACCCATATCATATTAAATAAAAAAGCTGCGGCTTTTTTATTTAATAAGATTTTAAGCATAATTTGGGAAAAATATGTTATTTTTAGAAATCACTCTAATAAGTTGTGTAGAAATGCTCAACGCCATTATATCCACGAATCAATACAGCATGATGATCCAGCTAAAGTCTGAAAATTTCTCAGAGCAATGGAGGTTGGAAAGTCACGTAGTAATACATTACCTAAAGATTTAAATATTGATTTACTAAATCGACACTTCTCATCTTCGCCTGACTTTAATGGGGCACTTAAATTAAATACATTAAATCACCTTTCAACACTTCCAACTCCTAATCATTCACCTTTTGTCTTCAATCAATTCACTGTTGTGATGTTAAGAAGAACATTTTGTACATTACTACGCTATTGGCGACTACTGTATCAGTCATAATATTATCCTTCCAATTTTTGATATAATAATTCCAATCCAATGTTATATCCTTAATTCTTCAATTTCTTGTACTGTTTTTGAATGAATGAATGAATGAAAATACTTTATTGTACACCACAAACTAATAAACAAATTACATAACAACAGACAGGTTAAATGTATAATTTGGCGGCCTTATCGCTACATAGCGATCTCTTCCAGGCAACCAATGTTATAAAGGAATAAACAATGAATACTGGGTATGTGGTGCAATATAATTATACAAAATATAATATCAATAAATGCGATATATAGACAATAAATGCAATAAAATAACATATAAATAACTAACACATGAAATGATATAAATTACTAATACATAATAAAAGATAAAGTAAAGCATATAATACATACATAAACATACATATATAAGAGTATATAAACGAACTTACATATCTACCCAAAAATACATAAATAAATTACAAATTTCCTCAAACAATAATATAAAGCTGATAAATACAATAAATACATAATCACATAATTATCCTCACGGTCTCCGGACGATTGAGACAAGAATGTTCTTTAAGTAGTCTCTTAAAGATTACAATAGATTGTGCTTCACGTATGTGCAAAGGTAAAAAGGTTTTTCCTTCAACCTCGAAAAACGCTCAAATTATACCAATACCTAAAAAATTTAATCCTACATCTCTCTCTCTGATTATCGCCCTATATCATATATATCATATTACCATTTCTGTCCAAAGGTCTTGAAAGGCTTGTGTCTAATCAGCTTAACGCTTTTCTTTGTAATAATCTCCTTTTCAATCCTTTACAATCTGGTTTTCGTCGGGGGCAAAGCACTAGCACAGCTTTAGTCAATATTACGAAAGATATCAGATATGGCATCGAGAACGGTAAGTTAACTGTACTTACTTTACTGGATTTTAGCAATGCATTTAATTCTGTCGATAACGACATTTTACTGGGCATATTAATCTCTCTTAATATATCTCCAACGATGGTTGAATGATTTCGAAGTTACCTGTTTGGGCGCCGGCAACGCTTACGCATTAATGATACATTCTCATCATGGTGTAGCACCATTGTTAGTATCCCACAGGGTGGCGTTTTGTCACCTTTGCTTTTTTCAGTTTTTATTAACTCAATATCCACTAAGATAAATTCTTCCTATCACTTATATGCAGATGATTTTCAGATATATACACAAGCTACTCCTAGTGACTTAGCTGTAGCTATTAACACTATAAACAGTGACCTAGCAATCATTTCAGAATGGAGCAGAAATTATGATTTCAAAATTAACCAACTGAAGACAATTAATTATTATAGGTTCTCCGCATATACTTACAAAATGCAATTTACCAAAGTTGTATTTGATGGTAATATAATTCCGACTAGTGACACTGTCAAAAACTTGGGTGTATACATCGACAAAACTTTATCTTGGGGTCCATTTACAGGAAGTTAGTTGTAAAATATTTGCAGCTGCTCATTCTTTGAGAAGACTAAGAAACTTTTTGCCAACTGCCACTAAGATTGCACTTGCGCAAACTATTTTGCTTCCAATCCTCGATTATGCAGATATCAGCTAATTGATCTCACTGAAATGCAACTTGAAAAATTTGAGCGACTTCAAAATTTTTGTATAAGATTCATATTTGGTTTGAGTAAATATGATCATATGTCAAAGGAGAATTCGCATCAATGTATGGAATCCCATACCATGTTGCATCAAAATCAAACTTTGTTTTTTATGAACTACACTGATCATATTAACTCCTACAAAAGTAATTTTATTTTTACAAAAACCCGGGTTTTGGAGTTATTTTATAAAATCGAAAATAACCTAAAAACTAGTTCTATGTTTTCGACACTACCAACGACCAATTTTAAATGAAACATTCAACACAGACGAACTTTATGGCTCTAAAAACAGCGTTTTCCACTAATATCAGTAAGAATTAAGAGTTATATCAACATATAGCCGTGCTAGAGGATGCGTGACTGAAACTCGGAGATTTGTACCTTTTTTTTGCGCCCAGAAGCAATGAAAAGGGCTACCCTTCGGGAAGCGGGGAAGCGAGGTGGTGAATGCTCTAAGCATACCACGACAGCCGGCTGCATGGTTATGTGGGACTCACTGCGACACCTAAGTGCCTACCCACTAAACACCACCTGTGAGACTGACATTGGCTTGTGTGGCCTATGTTCTGCAGTGGACTTGTGAAGTGCTGTAATGATGATGACTGTGATTATACTACCACACTAATACCAATAAAACATAATCATAAGGGTGACCAGTCAGACTGAAAAAAATGCTTGTTGAGTCTAGAGAGCGTCTTGAACAATAACCCTATAATAATCTTAAGATACTATTTATGACAGACACTATTGTGCACACTATAAGTGCAAACGAAATACGATGGATGAAATTGCTTACTATACTTCTCAGACTGAGCAATAAATATCCTGGAAAATCAGCAGGAGAACTCAACACTTCCGAGCGCTGTACTTTAGTTAGCGACGATCCTGTGACGTGCTGCATTTACTTCTACAAGCTCGTCGGTTCATCACAATGCAAACAGTCATATAATCCATTCGGAGAGTATTTTGTTAGAGATTACTTCATTCGTATTGAGTTCCAGCATCGAGGAAGCCCCCACGCACACATTTTATTGTGGTTAAACAACCGACCCACATGAAACCCCGTCGGAAAATATGCCAAAAACCATTGAGCTCGTAGAAAAATTGAGTACGGTAGCCCGAAATGATGTACCTAACAATTCCATCTACGCCAACCAGATACACAAACATACTTTCACATGCACGAAGCGAGGTGAGACAATTTGTAGATACGGAGTTCCGTACTAGCCAATGTCTACGACTCGTGTATTGGTTCCAATGCCTCAATATGATAAACGCCGTCGAACACTACAACAGAAGGCGAAAGAGCTGCGTACTTCACTCGATGAACGTCGGTACGCGGGCATGGATGACTTTCTTGAAGCTAATGTTTTGAGACACGATTCATACCTCGATATTGTACGCTCAACGTTACGCAGACCAACTCTTCTGTTCAGATGAAACTTTGAAGAACTTATGACAAACACGTTGAATCTGTACATTGCTGGCGAAGTCAACTCAAACATCGACATTCAATTTATCTTGGATGAATACAGCTGCGCAGAGTATGTTGTGGAGTACGTAAATAAATCAGCTCGTGGAATGGGCAATCTACGTCGTGAGCTTACTACGATGATGCAAGAGCATCCCGAACAGGACTACACAGACCAGTTGAAAGCTTTAAGCATCAAGCTGTTTAACGCTGTCGAGATGTCAGCGCAAGAAGCAGTATGGTATCTCCTACGTCAACCAATGAGCGAGACAAGTCGTCAAGTTGCGTACATTCCAACAGTATGGCCGACGGAAAGACAACGTTGCCGCAAACGTCGTCAACAAATGGACCGCGAAGGCTTTAACGAAAACAGTACTGATGTCTGGACCAAAAACGTAACCCAGCGCTATAAAGAGCGTCCTGCATCTTTAGAACAAGTGTATTTAGCCGAGTTTGCATCGTGGTATGCTAAAGCTAATGATTTCGTTGATGAGGAGGACGACGTGTACGTGGATAATGAAGAAGATTTAGAAAGTAAACCCACAGCAAGAACGTCAAGAGCACAAAATCAGTACCGCAAACGACTAATCGGACGTGTCATACGATACAGACATGGACGAAGCTGTCAATTATAAACGAGAAATGGTTCTACTGTACGTACAATTCCGCAACGAAATGTTAGAAATTGTTGATCAAAATAAATTTAGAAGAAGAATCCAGAACAAACTTTGTTCAACAGTAACAACTGTTGAACAAAGTTTGTTCTGTCTAGACTCAACAAGCGTTTTTTTCAGTCTGACTGGTCACCCTTATGATTATGTTTTATTGGTATTAGTGTGGTAGTGTAATCACAGTCATCATCATTACAGCACTTCACAAGTCCACTGCTGAACATAGGCCACACAAGCCAATGTCAGTCTCACAGGTGGTGTTTGGTGGGTAGGCACTTAGGTGTCGCAGTGAGTCCCACATAACCATGCAGCCGGCTGTCGTGGTATGCTTAGAGCATTCACCACCTCGCTTCCCCGCTTCCCGAAGGGTAGCTCTTTTCAATCCTGCAGGTTGTCGAAAAACTTACACGTTAAAGTGCCTCATGTAGACATACAACCGCTACACTCAGGAGCACAACTCAATGAACAACGCCTACATTGCCTGTGCAAGCACAGGTAAAGCCGCTGTACCTCTTGGTGGCACTACAGTTCATTCAGCGTTTCGTCTCACAACTTCTCGCGTGACGAAACTCTTATCCACAGAAAATTTGCAAGCTTACAGAAACATGTTCGTAGGCGTCAAAGCTGTTTTCATCGACGAGATCAGTATGTTAAGTTCAGCTATTCTTCAACAAATTAACTACCGATTGCAGCAGATTACTGGCATATACGACAAACCTTTCGGAGACATTCATGTTACATTATGTGGAGATTTCAGACAGCTTCCACCTGTACGAGCAACTTCATGTTATATTATGCCGATCAACCAATTAGGAGGTCTGATTCTTTGGCTCATCATTGATTACTTCCCACTGGTTCGTGTTGTGCGACAAACCGATGAGCGGTTTTCAACGATTCTAACAACAAAAATCGGCGATGGACTTCAACTAAGCAACGATAATATCTCCCTTATTGAGTCCAGACATAAAACTCAGGCTTGGTGCAAGGAAAACGTGCCTGATGCTGTCAGGCTGTATTATAGTAACAATGAAGTGGATTCGTACAACCGAAGCGCAATTCTAAATGCATACAACTGTCTCGCACATGATATTATGCTTGGTTATTCAAGTGAACAATAGAAGAGACAGTACCAAGGTAAACTATACAAGGTGACAGTGGCAGAAACCGATGGATTACCGTATCTGCTGCCATGGGCAGAAGGATATCCCTACATGATAATTTCTAACATAGATGTCGCTGATGGGTTGGTAAATGGAGCTATTGGTGTCTTGCGACATATCGAACGTCAGCAGTCAAATGTAGATAACAATTCTGCAGAAGCAGGGCCATCGACCAGTACAACTTCGCCAGCAGCTAGAGAAGAAATTGTTACTTTATGGATCGAGTTTCCAGAAGGAACAACAGGAATAAGAGCAAAAGTTAAATGTCGACCTCACGTGCAAAGCATGCCAAACACTTTGTCTACAAACTGGGTATCAGTTCATAAGAAAATAGTAAACATTACACTAACAAAAACTATAAAATGCAAACGAAAACAGTTTCCTTGCGTTCCTGCTTGTGCCATCACTATTCACAAGTCACAAGGTGGGACGTTTGCTGTCATTGTTTATAAATACTTATCCAAGCAACCGCAACAGTTGGTATACGTGGCGCTGAGTCGGGTAACAAGTATAGAAGGCTTGCATATTATCACCGAAAGAGATGCTCAATTTCGCTTTAAAAACGGACGGGAGGGAAACGATTCATAGACAACAAGAGATATCCGTAACGAATACATTCGATTTCGTGGACACACACTTCGAACAATTACTGATAATGCAGTAAAATTCTATAATGACTCATAAAATGCAGGACAAACTTTAATAACGAACCGTAATTCACAGTTTGCCTGCTCACTTTGCAGATATTGAAAAAGACACAGTGATTCCAAGGTCTGATTATTTGATTTTGACTGAAACGTGGATGCGTGACAATTGTGATCCAATTTCAATTGAAAATTTTGTATGTGTAACCCGGCAGAATAATCGATCAGCTTCTGAAACAAACACAGCAGGTGGAGTGGGAATTTATAGAAACTTATCATCGACATCCACGGCCAAAATTCTCAACGTTGAACTGTTGAATACAACTCGCCTTATTAGAAACACTGGTGACGTTTGCTTGGCAGAAGTTACATGCTTCACCGCTGATACCACGTTTAAAATGGTTCTTGGCGCAGTTTATATTCATCCTGGAGCAAGTATCTCTAACATCAGTGTTCTGCTGCATCAAACACTATTTCCGTATGTTTACAACAGCCAGTATGTACATCCCATCATTGAAGTTGATACCGATGTACCAATTCTTCTTTGTGGCGACTTCAACACAAACGTGAAAAATGACGAAACATTTCTCAAATTCATGAAAGACATGTTCAATCTCGATTGTACATTAGACGTTAATAAGTCAACAACACTAAGAGGCACCACCATCGATTTGACTTTTTCAAGACACATTACATTCGAAACACTCCCTTTCATTTCCTACTTTGCCTATCATCGTCCTATTCTCAACAGAATAACACAAATTGTAAGAAGTTAAATATCACACATGTTTAACAGTTGTAAAACAATTGCTCAAAGCACATTCATACTTGTAAAAATTATGTACATTGTTAAAAAAAATTGACATAATTGTATTTATGTGAACAAATAAATGTAACTTGATCAATTCAATTGTGATTTCCATTTACCTCCTTCTCTATATCCATACAAAATATCTATCAAACAAATAAAATTAAAATTTTCTTTTGAATAATGCAACCATTCCATCAGTATTTTCTTATGACGTTGTCACGTTCAACTATCGTCAGTACACCGACTTTACAGACAACCAATTTTTTTTCTGAAAGTGTACGCTGTTGGCCCTGCGGCCTTGACAGTTTCATCTAATTAGGCTCGTAGGCGAGGACTTACGAACTATTGAGTGCAACGACTGCAATCCCGAGATACACAGACAGTTTCTTTCGGAGTGAGGCTCCTCGAGCTGGGGGGAGAGAGGCTCGATGCGATTCAAAGGGCCCCTCAGAATAAGGTTCGAACCTCGGCTTGAATCACTTTCGCAATTTTGTTTACGGGTCGCAAAAATTAGAAACGCCCCGTATCACAGGTGTTGAACCTCGTGTACGGGGTGGGTCTGTCTGTGCCCTAGTGTTCTGTACTAGAGTAGTGTCTGAGTGTGTGGAGAAGTGTACGTTGCAGTTTGCACTATTTAAATTCCCAGTCGTAGCATAGAGTCTGGATTTGTGCCCAGTGTATAGCAAAAGGCTCAACCCCCATTACATGGGACGTATAACATAACTGAGGACTAGTGGGAATACTACATACCTACTCCTTCGGGGAAATACAACCATGATGTTATGTTTATTAATTGAATAATAATGACTAGAAAGAGTACTACACACCTCTGCTTGCTATTTCGGGGAAATACAGGGCGTGATGTGATTTTTATTAATTTAATCTTATTTCTATCCAATTAGTTGTATTTAGTAAATTATCATTAATAATGTTCTGTGTCTATATTAGGCATGTTTGAAAATGTCTTGATTAATCGAAAATCAATCTTTGAACACTCTATTTAATCGAAAATAGATTCTGGTATGTTTGAATCGAATCGGAGATCGATTATTTTTTAACTGAATCGATATGCCTGCTATAAACGTCCTTTAAAAGGAGTAAAACCATAGACATAGAGCATGAACTGAGACATCCAATAAAAAATTGACTATACCCTAAATCCAACTATTAAACTTAAAAGTAAATTCCCAATTAAAAAATCAAATCCCCGGACGAGTAATGTCGTAAAATAATATAAAACTAATTACTATAAAATGTTGGTCTTGAGGCGCGAGACTTTTTGGTACCACTTTTGGTCATTCTCCTTTCGTAACAGAATCGCATAGTTGCCACTTCGCCTTCGCCGGAATGCTCATATTCTCTCACTTCTTTATAATCCTTTCTATCCTTCTTACCTAAAAAATCGGTTTGAATTCCTCCATGACTCACATTTGAGACATTAAGATCATCAGAAAATTTGATATTAAAAATGCCAGATCACACTACTAAATTTTTGGACAGATCATTCATAATACGAGTTGTCCGATTATGGAATGACTTGCCGTTATCAGCAAGACGCGCTCAATCCCTGTTATATGTAATAGTTTTAAAGTATATATTTGTCCTTTTATACATTTATATCCATAAAATATATACACATATATTTATCTTATCTGTGTACTTATATACCATTCTATTTTCTATTTTATGGCTTTAATAAAAATAATGTTATTTTTGTTGCCAAACGGCACACGTTTTTATTGTTTTCTTGCAATCCTGTCCATCCAAAGGTTATCTGGAAGAGATCGCTCTTAGCGATAAGACCGCCCATTGTACCACATTTCTTTTCTCATTTTTTGTTAATATTTATGTTATTTTTAGCGTACCATAAAGTGTTATCTATACATCTCTCAAACCTGGTTTAAAAATATTCAAAACAGGATTTTTCGATGACGGTCAACAATGAATACTCAAATTTGCAAAACATGTACAAGTTTTTACCTCTATATGATCCCTTATAAAAGGCATAAGAAATAATCTCTTCACAAAGAATTTAAAATTTGAGCAATACAATTCACTAAAAATTTGCATTTGCAAGAACTGCATGATAACACTCCCATTTTCGAATGTATAAGAATAGTGACAAAAATGACTGAGAGCATTATATACCCAGAAAAAGTTAACAAAATTAAAGTGAAACTTGCGGCTCAAGTGTTTAGCAGAACAACTAAGTAAAAGTAAGAATAATACACTTTTTCATTCATCAGTATTATCAAAATAGAATACCCAAAAATGACTAAGAATATGCATTTCAGTCCAATCCTTGCAGTATTACTAAAGTTAAGCCATCTTGATAAGGGACTTGTTGGGATGTCTTGGAAGTCTGGTGTCGGAACCGTTAAAGGAAACCCGACGAGGAAATGGCCAGGTGTTAATAGTTGGATGTTGTCTGTGTCCGTGTCCCTCAATATGTTAAGCGGTCGTGAGTTGAGGCAAGCTTCAATTTGAAATAACAATGTGTTCATCTCTACGTATGTTACGTGCGAGGTCATTATCCGTTTCAAATGGTTTTTCATCGACTTGATTCCCGCCTCCCAAATTCCACCAATACGTGGGCTATAGGCGGGAATAAAATGCCATTCAGTTCCATCCATTGCTAGCGTTTAGAAGTTCCACTGAAGTTAGGCTTTACCCCATTCTGCAGCGATGATCCTGTTTACCCCAACAAAGTTACATCCTTGGTTACTCTAGACATGAGCGCATCTTTCACGTCTACCTAAAACCTTCTGAAGGCTCCCATGATGGCATCTGAGTTGTTTGTCATTTCTCCTCTTCCTCTAGACATCAAGATATGGAACGGGCCTGCAAGATCCATGCCGGTAATTAAGAAGGATTTAGCTGATGTGACTCGAACTCGTGGTAAGTCCCCCATTAGTTGCGACCTTGTTGTAGCGTTAAGTTTTGCACAAATAAAACATTTTCTGATCTTTGATTTTACTAATATTCTAGCCCGTAGGATCCAGAAACTTGTTCGCAGATAGCAGAGCATTACTTGAACTCCACCGTGTAGCGTCTTAGAGTGTGCGTAGAAGAGAGGTAAGACGGGTGTCGTGATCAAGAATAATTTGACTTTTGTTGTCTTCATTTAGATATAACCATGCTACCAGGGTACTGCCTATACAAGTATTACATCATAGCAGGTTCTTAGATAAGTTATTCAGGCCACCATGGAACTCTGCTATTAGTTGCGGGTTCTAAAAAATTGTCTTTTATTTAAACTAGTATTAATTTCAATTCCAGGACCATTAACCCTTCCAAAGAACACATATAGTGAAAGAAAACCCATGAATCTCATACAGACATACGATGGTAATATTCTAGAATTATCTACATCAACAGGTAAAATCCATATTAATATATTAATTTTATAATAAAAGCTTAACACATTCACGGACAGTACGCCCATTTTCGTGACATTCTGAATTTATATTACGACACAACGCCTATTTACGATAAAATATTTT